TTCAGAAAGGCGGGGCATAGAGGAGAAACAATAATGTACAGTATGTGGAAAATAATGTGTTTTTTGAACCTTAAACCACATAAACACATTGCATTACACCAAATACACAAAATAATGTTCTTTTTAGCAGCATCATATGACCCCTTTAAGTATAATAACTCTGGTACAGTGTAAATATATTTGGGTTTGTCTCATGAAAACGTTCTCATTCTCATCACTGTGATGTTTGCTTGTAAAGCTCATTATTTAAATGGATTATCATCGCTGCTGAAATACAAACAGATTCAGTACAGTATTTGAATCAGCACAAATGAACAGAAGTAATTCAGTACCACTGTCACGCGGTGTGCTTATTGTGCATGTCTGTGTGTGTGTGTGTGTGTGTGTGTGTGTGTGTGTGCAGCGGGAGGGTTCGAGTGTTCACGGGAGCGCTGTGGTGAGATCAGGAACGAGGATTACGCCTGTCACTGTTCAGACGACTGTCTGCAGAGAGGAGACTGCTGTACCAACTACAGACCACTGTGCAAGGGTCAGACAAACACACACACGCTCTCACACTCACACACACATGCACACACACACACTCTCTGACTCTCACACATACACACACTCTCTCCTTCACTCACTCACACACACTCAATCACACTCAGACACACTCGCACACACACACACACTCTCTCCTTCACTCACTCACACACGCTCAATCACACTCAGACACACTCACACACACACACACACTCTCTCTCACACACACACATGTCAGACGAGCACATTGTTAAAGTTTTATGAATTCAGTTAATTAGAAGAGCTTTTTGATTATTAAAATGTATGTGTGTTGCAGGCGACAGCTCCTGGCTGGAGGGTGACTGTGAGGAGATTCAGAGTCCAGAATGCCCTGCAGGGTGAGTGATGATGCTGATGTGTGTGTGTGTGAGTCTGAGTGTGATTTAGGGCTGCACGATTAATCGCATGCGATATTTAACGCGCATGTGTGTGTGTGTGCGTGTGAGCTTGTGCACTCAATCTGCTCTCATGTGTGTGTTTGCTGAAGGTTTGTCCGTCCTCCTCTCATCATCCTGTCTCTGGACGGCTTCCGCTCCTCTTACATGAAGAAAGGGAAGAGCGTCTTACCCAACCTCCACAAACTGAGTACAGAACCTCACCTCTGCATCACACCAATCCCACAATCCCTCACTGCACACACACTGAGACTGGGCCGCAGTCAGCCCAGACGCCGTGCTTAAAGGTGCAGTAAGCCATTTTTGAAAAAAAAACAGTTGAAAAGTGAACTGGACTCGAGCAACAAAACACACTTGTAGCCAATCAGCAGTAAAAGGTTTAGCAGCAAAGATGTTGCTTTATTTCTTCTTGATATGCGAGTAATGTTGTTTTTGCTGCGTTTCACTGTCTTTTACTTCAATATACTCATGTGCAGTGTTGGGAGTAGCACACTAGAAGTAACGTGAGTTACGCAATCAGATTACTTTTTTCAAGTAACTAGTAAAATAACGCATTACTTTTTAATTTAGAAGGAAATATCAGAGTTACTTTTTCAAATAAGTAACAGCAGTTACT